GGCCCCACTGACCCCCTGACCCAGCCTCTTGGCGGGAGCTGGCTTTCCCCCAGTCTGCCATGACCTCACCCCCGGAGTGGCTCCGCGGACCTCACCCTTGGGAAGCGGGTGGGGGCCGGACTTGGGGGTAGCACCTTGGAGGAAGCCCCTGTCCCCGGCTGAGGAAATCCCTTCTCCAAACTCCACAGAGCCCCTTGCAGCCCCAGCAGCTCCAGCTCTTCCTCTTGTCTCCTCTGCTTTCTTGCTCTCCTCATCTTTGGACAGCTCAGTCCAGCTCTCAGTCAATCAACCAAACGATCCATCGAGCTCCTCAGCTGCCTCCTCAGCCCCTCTCTGCACATCTGGGAGTAGGTGCCCCTCCCTCTTCCCTCCCTCTGTCCTGGTGCGGCCTCTAATTGCCTGTTCTGTGTCTGTCTGTGTAGTTATTAAGAGTATTTGGGTTACAGCCCCCTGGGGCCAAGAGCCGGGCTCCCAGGCTCCACTGACCACAAGGCCACTCCCTGTGGAGCCCTGGCCCCAGCCGTCCCCTCTCCAGGAGGGTCCCAGGGGAGGACTGACGTCCATACTGAGATCACCCTCCCAGGCCCGGACCCCAGCCTCCCCATGGAGAGAAAGGGTCTCTCCCGGCCAGAGCCCTTCCTGGCATCCCACCCAGAGGACTCTGGCTTTAGTGTGTGTCCCTTCTGAACTGACCTTTTGGAAACTGACCGCCCTTTCTTCCCATGGCTGGCCTGGTGACAAGGACACACACAAGAAGCATTGAGCCCTGCCCACAGGACGGGAGGTGGGGGTCTGTCGCGGACCCGGCCCACGCTCCCCCATACACGCACCCTCTTCCCTGGGCTGGTCGAGGCCTGGGAAGACGGCATGAGATGTGCGGGGACACGGGAGACCTCCCGGGTGCCTGGGAGGGTGCGGGTGTGAGGTGTGTGCAAATGTGAGTGTGAGAGACAGAGACAGACAGACTGGGTGAGTGTGCGGCAATCAGTGGGACAGACAATGGCTGGGAAGTCGTTTTTGGTTTGGCTTTTGTGCGGCAGGGTCTCACTTTAGAATTTAGGCTGGCCTTGAACTCACTAAGTAGCCCAGCAACCCTCCTGCCTCAGCCTCCAGAGAGGCATTTCTTGAGATGTCCATGTGTGCAAACATCGGCCTGTGACAGTGGGATTAGGTGCCATCGTGTGCCGCTTCCTGAGCTTCCCGGCCTGGCGCGGATCACCCTGTTGGTCATACAAGTTAGTCTGGGTCTGTACAAGCTCAGACATGTGACAGGGACTGCGGTTCTCCACACGGAAACTTCTACCACACAGCTGCTGGGACAGTGTGACCAAGTCGGCCAGTGGGTGATGGGTCGTGCTGACCATAGGGAAACAGGCGTGAGGCTCTGAGCGCCTAACAGGCGGACAGCAGGGTGATCGGTGCCGCCGGGTGCTGCGGAGCTGCCTGGGCGCGGCCGCGGTGTTTGAGTCCCGGGTGTCGGGGGTGGGGGGCTGCTATTCTGAGACGGCAGGGTCAGGAGTGTGGGAACGGAGCACAGGCCAATCCGGGAGGACCCACGCGACCCAGCCTCGGGCTCCTCAGGGCAAGGAAGCCCTGATCATTCCCCACCTCAGGACCCACAGAGTCCCCCGCGATTCCTCGGGCGCCCCCCACCCCAAACCCTTCGGGGTGCGGCCGGGCACCGGGCCAGATGCGCGCAG